ACATATTATAGTTAAGGAGAAATAAATGGGGGGGGGGTATATTGAATGGTGACTGCAGCTTTACGTTTAGTCAATGAAAAACATTCATTCATTCATTTTCCGATCTTCTCAAAAAAGAGAAAAGAGAGTGTGTGTGGGGGGGGGGGGGGGACCAAACTAGAGGGCTCTGAACGTCACAAATCAATCCCTCCACTTTGACTAAATCGAAACTCGGTTGGTTTCCTGCTGAAGGAGGCGCTTTGGTTTCTTCAGGATTCAGTGGGTGGGTGCCTTTTTGGTTATTTGACATTCTAAGTTGGCTTTCAAGACACTTCCGCCCTCAAATGTTTTGAAATGTTTTATTTTTCCTTCAAATGTACGCATTTGACTGAAATATTCAACACATTGAAAAAAAATTAAGAATATAATTACAGATGATAGATATACTGTAGATGGACTTATAACAAAGGAGGATGGCCGCCACATTGAAAAGAATATGAAGGGGGGTAAAAAATATTTTTTTCAGGGAAAGGTCACAATGTCAACACTTAAATGCTATTGTACAAACATTACATGCACTGAAATAACTTTTTGTTGGCTTTGTTGCATCATCAATCACAAGTGGGTTTCATAGTCACTATATCACAGTTCATTTATTGCAGGTTGGGGTGCATCGTTTTTCATTTTGCAGTTCAGTATTGTGTAATAGTTACTCAACTGCATGTCTCCGTCGATGTAAACATTGCTAATTGAATATAGCCTACCGAGGCTTGTTAGAACAATGTTTTATCCATAAAAATTGGTTTCGAAAAAGCAGGGGTGTCCAAATTCGCTCCTCAAAGCCCGATGTCCCGCCTGTTTCCAACTCGCCCTGCTCCAACACACCTGATTCAACTGATCGGGATCATTTATCTGGCTTCTTCAGAGCTTGCTGATGAGTCTTTCAAATCAGGAGTGTGAGAGAGCAAGAGAGACAGGAGCAGCCGCTTGAGCTGTTGACTTTCATTCATTAAAATTCTAATTTTGCTCTCCTAACATATCGACTTTATTTTTGACATATTGAAAAATGCTAAACAGAAAAAAATACATGTACATGTATCTGTATTGGCTTTTACATGTCCACATAAATGTTATTTTATACATGCCAACAAGTAAAATAAAAAAAATAAAAAAGATTTAGTTGTAATATTAAGTCTTTATTTTCCAACAACCCCCCAGCATTTTTACTTTTTTACTAATCAGATACTTTTATTATTATGCAAGAAAAATAACCTAAACGAATACCCTGATACTCTTTTGTATATTACAATGTACAATTAAAACAATTATGTAATTGTGCATACTTTTTTTGAATAGATGCAAAAATGGCTTCTCAATATTTCAATCGGCACTTAAAAGGATTCCAGTTCAATCTTTGACAGACATAAAACAAAAAAAAAAATACGTTCATACGCTTTTCAAAAATATTCAGGTGAGAGTCCACGTGAGTCTGTTACCTCTGCAAGTAGGCGGCGTTGGCTTCTGCGTACATGTCTTTCTTCAAATTATTACTGAGATCCACTAACACCTGCGAAAGAGAACATATCTCACCGTTTACATGTTACCAAACCTCGAGACGACTATTCATGTTTATTTCGTAGTTAATTAACATTCGTCAAGCATAGATTTGGCAGCTACGTCTTGGTTTAGACAAAAGTGAGAACAAGACAAAAAGCTTGATATAATTAGCTTGGATGCCAACCCCTATCTTTAACCTTTATTGATGTCAGTCTTTGCCTGAGTCGACACAGAGAACTGCATCATTTTCAAGATTAAAAGTACAACACACAGTGCTCAATATAAAGTCCTGAATGATTTAAAATCATGACGTTTTCACAGCAGTGTTTTTACACGTCACCGGGTTTTAACTTAATCAGTTTGAAAATTCAGATTGATCCAAAATAATGCCCCCTTATTCATCCATTCATGGCAGTGATGTGAGTGACTCAGTGTTAAATTAGGTAAATTGAGATGAGATCTGGTCTTATAGTCTTGCAGGTATTATAATCTTATAGTCTTATATTTCAATATGAGTAGGCCTAATATTTTTGGGCGCATTTTAAATGATATGCAGTACAAACATAGTCTCAATAATATTAAACATTTCCATAAACTGAGTTAAAAAAAAAGTGGAAAATACACACTTTAAGTTGGTTTATTGTTGGGCAGTTTTTTGGCATTCTTGAATGGTACATTTTTAATAGAGAGCCCTTTGCACGGAAAAAAAAACATTATATCGATATTATTTTGTCTGTTTCAAACCCCTTTTTTGTGGGGTTAGTACAGTGGATCTTTTATACATGTATCGTCAAAAATAAAATATATTGAGAGCACATATTGTGCATATATTTCGTCCATGATTCATGCTTGTCATTTTTTTTCCATATCTCAAACAACCTTTTTTTTCATACATCTGGTAAGAAGGCGTGTGGTCCTATGTGGGCCACAAGTAGCACGGATGAAAAATTCTGACCCCCATCAAAATATATGTTGCCCATACCTGATAACATTTATTGAACCATTTATCATGAGCCAATTGAAAAATCTTATCACACACAAACACAAAAATCCGAAACAAAAAAGGATATGCTAGATATATACATAAATGATGGATAGCTTTACACATAGCAAGCTGGTTATATCCTGAATAAAGGAAAGGCGCCACAAATTGCACTTGCTAAGTCAATATTATCAATATTAGGTACGGGGCATTATTACATAACACATCGGCCATCAAGTCACCTTTCCTTCCAAATAAGGTGCCAGCGTCTCCATGAATGTGTAATGTTCTCTGTGAACGCAAATGAAGATGAGTCGCGCTGCCTTCGCTGCCGCCTCATGGCTCATCACCTGCGCGGCACAAACATTCACCGTGGTAAATCGCGATTTACTTGCACAATCATCCGTTCTTGCTGATCGTAGCGAAGCGCCTCATGTGTTTCACCTGAGCTCCTTGAGGCAAGGGGCCACAGCTGTGAGGTCTGCGGCTGCCGTACACCACCCTGCAGCCAGTTTGCAGCAAGCGCAGGCCCAGGGAGCGTCCCAAATCTCCTGTCCCAAAGATACATAGTGGCTCCTGTTCCTGCTCCTGCTCCTGGGGCAGGGCCATCGCTGCTCCTCTACGTCCGAGGGGATGCAGGGATACGCTCTCTAGCTTGGCGTCTTCTGTTACACCACTTGCCACGGTCATGTTGAAGCAGTTTTTGGAAACTCGGTGTTCCCCCCCTGCCTTGTTATATATTGCAGTTCTGCAGCACGTAGACTTGCCTCACCCTCTTTCTCTTGAGGTGTACAGCAACATGTGACGATCCAGTTGTGTATTTTGACTTGGAGATAAAGGTTGAGCAAGGCGAGGTTGTTTATGACACCACTAATCAACATCTTCCATCACGTGTTTCGGCATGTGTGTAAGATCATTTAGTGTCTCGTTTAGTGTGACTCAACACTCCACCCTACAATCCATGTGTATAAAATTTGTTTTAATTGACACTTGAGCGACAAGACAGGGTTGGTTTTATTTGGCCAGACTTTGCACAGCAATCAAATGCAATGGGAATGTGATCATCAACTTCAGATTTATCCACTTCTCGGTACATCTTTGCTTTGTAATGAGATTCAGAGCAAGATTTGTGTCAATAATTCGGCCACCGTAAAGATAAGAAGTCAGAGAGCGTGAAACCTCTGCCAAGGTTTACATTCACTGTACTGAAATCTGCAAAATCAATGCGAATCGAAGCATTCTGACATCAAAAACAATGTAGTTGTAGTGTGTATTAAATGTGCTATTGCTATATACACAACTCATCCTGTGTCACCCAAAGCAATGAGATTTCACAGAAATAATATATTTATCGTGCTGTAGTAAAAATAGATCTTTTTAAAATAAATTAAGAGGACATCCATCCATCCATCCATGGCTGGTGGAAGTCTTGCATTTGATTTCATTAGCGTGTGAGGGTATACGTAATGTCGTGGCTGTAAATGCATTATGGGTCCTTTTTCTTTGGTATTGTTACTTGTGCTTTATGAAAATATAGCACAGATTGAAATCAATTTCCCCATTTGGCAAAAAGGGATTCTTCTGCTTGCCTTCTTCTCTTCCCTCTCGCTTCCATTCTCGACACTGCACCGTGCTTGATATCTGGGCTCGCAGATTCATTATCATTTCAAAACTCACTCTTCCAGCCAAGCGGCCGGGAAAAAAATTTGTGCAAATTTAGTGCTCGTGTCCCCACGGCGAGCGCATTTGCAAACTTGTGACACGACACAGATGCAATGGTGCAGAAATGAAGTGTGGCACATATGTAACTGCTTCGTGTGAACACATCACTTTACTGTGTGTGTGTGTGTGTGTGTGTGTGTGTGTGTGTGTGTGTGTGTGTGTGTGTGTGTGTGTCCTAAAGTGGGCCAGAAGATCGGAGCCGAATAGTGTTGCATTACATCACCTTTCACGACAATGCGCTTCTTCCATTCAGATCACAAACTGCATTTGCATACTTAGCTACATTTATGGAACGCGGGCAGCACATCACCTCAGGAGCTTTTACACTCAAGTCCATAACTACAGCATTAATGTTCTACCTGAGGGGGAATCGCATCGAAATGGGAAATCATTTAATGTTTAACCTTTAAGGCATTAATTCACTTGTCGCACTGTTTCAATAGAACTGATAGATAGGAGAGGCACTTGACTCATTTATGGCTCTTCCTTAGGGCCAACTTCCTTTTCTTTACTGAATCTTTCCTAAAAATCTCACTTGTGGGTTATTTTTTTTTTCATGCCACACTTCCTGCAAATGAAAACACTTTCAATTTGCTGAGCAAACTCAACCGAAGTTGAAACACATGGCTCACAGCAATTCTCGTCTTGTCTCAGGGGTCATATGTAATTCTGAAAATTGGGCCCAGCAGTGTAGTGACTCGATAATTGGGGCTACTGCACTAAACTGAATTGATGGATGAATGATATATGGATAGATAGACAAATAGCTAGCAACAGAGCTAGCTAGCTGGCTGGCTAGTGAAAGAGAGAGATGGATGCTCTCATTCAATCAAGTGTGAAATTAACTGACCAAATTACTTTACTTTCCCTGTATTGAGAGACTTTGTTAGGAATAAAAAAAAAGAATGATATTTGAATGTTCCCGTGTTCTTTTTCGAGGTTTGATGTGCTTGCCGGTGGTTTCTCGGGGCACTAAAAACATTAAGTGGCCCATACAGTAGGTGTGAATGGATGTTTGTCTATACTGTATGTCTGATTGAATGGCAACCAGTAGGTGTACACACCTCTCCCCGAAACTCAGCTGGGATACACTCTCTGGTTCACCAGTGAACTGAACAGGATAAGCAGAAGAAATTTAATGTGGGGGAGGGGGGTTAATATTTACATTTCCCAACAGGTTCAGATTGTCATCATGAGTGTCTGACAACCTTCTGGAAAGAGTCCCTGCAGAGAAAGTCGTGTATGTCAAACGTAACCGTTGTCTTGCTCCATATATCTCACAGGACTCGTCTCCCTGTGGGAAGATAACAGTGCAAACACGAGTGAAAGTAGGAGTGAGCGCTCTGGGGAAGACTGGAGTGCAGAATTTGATGGAACAAAGGAAGGTTGTGAGGTGGTGTGTGTGTGTGTGTGTGTGTGTGTGTGTGTGTGTGTGTGTGTGTGTGTGTGTGTGTGTGTGTGTGTTTGTTTGCACTTTTCTGGTTTGTGGTGACAAAATAAGGTTTCATAAGTGATACACGGGTCGACAAGCTATAGAATAAAATGTTTTTTTTTGGGGGGTGTATCTTGAGAATTTTAGGTGGGGGAAAAAAAATTCAACTGCTGACACATTCTCACAGACACAGATCGAAAGAGACTTAACCGAATGGTTAATAAGAAGGCAAGCTCTGTCCTGGGCTGCCAAATAGACTCCATCGAGGACGTGACTGACAGAAGGATGCTAGCCAAGTCGACATTCATCTTGGACAGCATGTCCCGCCCCTCGAATTACACTATAGAATCACTGAGTAGCTCCTTCGGCGCCTGACTTTTAACCCCTCGCGCAAGGAGTGCCACTCCTGCCCACAGCAATAAGACTGTTCGATTGCAGTCAATAAATATACAACATACACACACGCACACAAACACCTGACAGCAGAATTTAGATTAGTATCAATTTTAGCCTTTGAGGACAAATGCTTCTAAAAGGACGAATGATCATTGGCAAGGAAAGACTTAAGTTCTTGCAACATGACTGACAGTGACCACACCTGTTCTGTGTAAATACATTTAAACAGATACGGTTAGAGTAGACTGCACTGTCTGGTGTTTTATCCCAACTTTTTTATTAGCAGGTCTGCCGTTTGACAAATGTTAGCTAATAATGTGCGATAAACTTGTCTGTCACTCAACGGGATGTGGACAAATTGGCATCACTACTTTTCTCATAGGATGTAAGCTCACATTTGTCAGGATTTGCTTCATCCTCAAACTCTTCTTTTTGCATTTGCTTCATTTTATTTTCCTCGCTTTATTTCCTACAAGTCTGTTGATAGGGGGGCCCGTGAGTGAGCTCCCAACGGGTCGTTGCAGTGTATCTTTAGAATTGTGTTGTTGATGTTGACCAATGTCAGCCGTCTTTCGGAGGTGGGGCCCAGCACACTAGCCAGCAGCCGCAAGTGTACCGCTCTACAGGTTTTATTGACATCCAATCATTGTCATTGCAGTCTTAAAGCAGTGCTTTGTTATTGACATGGGACAATTTCGGCAGGCCCCCGGGGCTGCCTTGAGCTTAGAAAATTGCCACCCTTGCCTTTCGAGGGGCCTCTGCTCTAATGGCACCCTGGTTGGCAATCACTGCCTTATTTCATGTTTACATTATAAACATAGATTTGCCTTTCAGAATGTGACATAGTATCAGAATACTATGATTGAAACAATCCCCGGATATTTAAAGTCAATCGTGACAGCAACTCTGCCCACCAAAGGGTAAAATTCATTAAAATATCATGATTGGACTGCCTCGGGACTGGATAATAGTTAAAAAAAATTGCCCAGGCTGTGACATAATAATTGCTCGGATTCTTTTCTCTGTTGCTAGGCTGAGTTCATAAGGCCAATGAAAAAAAAAAAAAAAAACAGAATTTGCTTTTGGACGAGGTTGTTTGAAAAGCCAATTAGTGGCTCATCCCACGACGCCCATGGACAAAGTGTCTGTAGGAACAGGAAGTTGCCCAGACACACACGGAGAGCCCTGTGAGGATTATTCGACTGCATTTGCAGTACTTTTCAATTTCAACAACTACTTCGTGCTAATTACAAAAGGCATGTTTTCTGCTATGTACCAATAGTGTTTTCGAGATTTTCCTAAAGTCAGTGCAGACATTTGTAGGAAACATTTCATGTTAAAGCAATAGAGACCATGAAGTAGTGCGCTGAGACAGACGACCACTTCTTATATTTTTTTTTCACGCATGCTTGTTACGGTGATCGGATTGAGTTTGATGCTATTAAGTGTGACTTAATAGGCTTCTATACTGAGAAAATGGATAAACAATAAACAGAAGACAAGCGTCAATATCTTCGTGCAGAATGTCAAGGATACATAGACTAGACTCTTTCTCTTTCTGTCGCTCACGCGCGCACACACGCACACGCACACACACTGCTCTTCAAGACATGAATTCTCTGAGGGGTTTCACAAGAAACCCAGGGAGACTTTTTAAACCAACTGAGTATTTTGTGCTTACCCGCAGACATCTTGCGACATTTAAAAGGAGCGTGCAGTGGGAGTGGATCGCATCGAACACATGCTCGCGCACCCATTTTGGAAATGTCAAAATGTATTTGCACCTGTGGAAAAGTTCCTCCGCTGCTATGCCGAATCATCCCATCGTAACTGAAGAAGACACCTAAGCGCAGCTAAACAGACAAAAAAGTCTCCTTTGTGACCTTTACGGGCAACACCGAGGCGCAGGATTGAGAATTCCACGAGGATCTCTGCAAACCCTGGATGAATACCCCATTAGCACATATTCAGGCAGACACATGCGGGATGTTCATTATAAAGCGCATACAACGAGAGAAGAGAACCAGATGAAAGAGGTTTTCCTTTCTGCGCGACTCACCTCAACGGCGGATGAGGTGAATAAAACATGAGGGTTCAAGTGTTTTAGATCTGTATGTAAAGCCACGACTGGGTGTTTCATTGCGTGTCACTTTTTTTAAATGGAAATTGTGTGTATGTGGGGGTATGGGGGGGGCGGGGCTTCTTGCATAATTTAACTATGTCTATTAATCACATACATAATTTGTCACTCAGGAAAGGGGAAGTGAAGAAAGTAAAGATGAAGAAGAAAAAGCACTTTTGTTTTCACACCAATCATAGACCCCGGTGCATGTGCAAGCCGTGGGGCAACAAAGAGCAATGGATTTAGTGATGTAATAATGCCGGCTCTTGTCAGAAGTATAGTAGGATTATATAGAAAATATAGCCCGCTTTAATTGGCAGGGACCTGACATATTTGCTGGTTTACTTCATTTCTCTCACAGGGCTTATGATGCATTTATCTATCCAGCATAAATATTTTTATATTCATAAATAGATGTAGTTCTGCATGGCAACAAGTGATTATATAGAAAAATGATACCTGTATAATCAATGAATCGTTGTTGACTGCGAGTTGTCTTTTGTCATCGTGGAAACATTTGAAAAAGAAGTATGAATTGAAAACCGAGTACGGACCGAAGTGGGTTCTTTTGAAATGAGATTATCCTAGCGTGTGCATTCATTTTCTTTACAGACGCCTATGCTGCGTATCACCGCATCTTTGTATCCCCGCAGCCTCATTCACCACTTCAACGGGATAAAATGTGACTGAATGTTTGGAGCGGTGGATATTAACTGCTAGAAGTGAGAGGCAGGGAGGAGTTGAATAAAGAGTTACCTGAAATAAACCTTGAGATTTTCCCTTCCGTCGCCCAACTCAAATTGCGGCTACAATACAATTATCTCAGCCTAAGCCCGTAGCAGATTGTGGCGGTTGTGAAAATGGTTGACACAGTAAAACCTTCCAATTTGAGCACACCTGAGGCTGCACAATGCGGAATTTGACTATTAGACAGCTACATGAGCCTAGCGTTCAAAGCAAACATGGTGCATCATCGTGTATCTGTTATGCTGCACACAAATGGAAGAAGCTGCCAACACAATTGAAGTTAGTCCCGAGTGTAAATGTTTTTATATCCAGGTTAAAAATACTCCACCCCCACCCCTCCCTCATGCATGTGATCAAGGTTTTTGATAGCATTTTTAAAATTGTACGTTCTTTTAGTAATTTTAGAAAACTACTCTACGTAACATTTAAATGCCTTGCTCTTTTTTGTAAATATCTTCCAATTCTTTTTTTCCTTGAAGTGTTGTATTTTTGCAATTAAATGTTGCCTTTTGATGTTGTTATGTAACTATGTGAAGCACACATTGTATTATACTGACGAATCAATCAGATGGTGGGAAAATGAGGAACGGCTAGCCAAATCTTCCGACTGTATTTTGGCCAGCAGAGAAAACCAAACGTTGGTTGTATGGTTTTAAAAATTAAAAGGGCTTTATGATTGCCATAACTCTACCATAGAACTGATTATTCTTATTAATGCCTCTGGGAAGAAATATTTCAACAAAAAAAAAAAAAATTAAAATTGGAATTTGACCAGCATAACGTGTTGTTATGTTTGACTTTGGAGGTTCCACTATCACACAGTGGCCATGTGCTCTCCTCTGGAAGGAGGCCTTGATATTCTGCTGGCCTCCTCTCACTTCCTTTCGCTCCCGGCTCACGACGTTCTTTTTACCTCCGAATGAATGCAAATGAACAAAGGCATTTTGGCTGCTGCGCTGACAGATTAGAGATTAAAATCTCACATGTATCCATGTCATTCAGTATCATCATATCCTTGACAAACAGCTGCTCTCCGCAAACGGCGCGCGGCCACAGCGCTCATCTCCCCCTGTGACTGCGGGGGTAATCGTCAGCCAATTACGAGGCTGAATGGGCCGACAGGATTTTTCGCTCCGTCTCCTCAGCCGTACCTTCGCCGCAGTGAAAGCGCTGACGCTGGGAGAAAGCGCTGACGCAGAAGTGCAAGGCGAAAAGAATGAGAACCTCAAACTCATCACAGGTACGATTCCTTTCCTTTGGGGGAGGGCAAAAGAGGGTATGGGTGCACCTATTGACGGCGATTCGTCAAATTGTAATTGTCCATCCACTTATTTTCCTTTCATTCGAAAGTGAACAAGGCACAGGGGTAAATCTGCTAATGAGGATGGCATTTGATCTCATTAAAAGGCCCCTGTGGGATACAATGTCCCGACGTGGACCACAGATTGGTGAAAGATAATGACGTGCCAGCAGGCCTGTTAGATCAGCCGCATAGCAACGACGTTGAACTGAGGCATTGACAACGCTGCCTATTTGGTGACATTTCACAATCGCCGTAATTGCGATGTTTAACAACCTTGCCACGATTCCCGAACAAAGACAGGAAAATGCTACTGATGTACACTGGTGAAAGGACACTTTGATTCGCTCCACATTCATCTAAAACTGCTTCAAACAACAAAGTGATTGAGATTGCACGACTGTCTGTGTCTTATGTGTTGTGTTGTATTTTTTTGTTATTTTATGTTAACTGTTCTTTGATGGCGGCGCAGGCACCTGCAGCGGCTCCTGTCTCTCCTGTGGTTGAGAGGAACGGAATTTCATCTGTGCTGTATGTTGCACATTTGACAATAAAGTTGATTTGAACTTGAATTTGAACTATTTTATTTTTTTGCAAGTGAGCATTCTGGTTTATTGGTTTGATTTATTTTGGTTTGACTTGAGCAACAAGTTACGCTACTTTTACTCTGTTACATTAAATGGCATTCCATTCACAAGCTTTGTTTTGGTTTGTCAGAGAGACTTTGTCAATCCAACGAACTCTAATCAACGTTCGACTGCATTCGACCAATCAAATGGAGCCAGGGAGTCACATGACCGGACAGAAAGTCTACGCGACTAACACAGAAGCAGTTTTCAAAGCATTTTTGTATTTCACTGAAAACTTACTTAAGCAATTATACGGAGGATTACTTTTTACTTTTACTTGAGTCATAGTATTCTAAAGTAACACTGCTCTTACTTAAGTATCATTTGTGGATACTTCGCGCACCCCCGTCCAATACTGTCCTGTGATTGGCATACGACCAGGCCATTATGAGGCCATCATTTATTTCCCCAATATACTTTTACCAGAGCAGTTAATGGCCATGAAAAGTCCCGTTATTTCTCCATAATTAGAAAATCCCGCAACTTGGACCCATTCCACATTTCTTTGTCTTGTGTTCCTCTGAAGAGAACACAAGGATACATCCTGTCAGAGCTGATAAGACGTGTGTCTGTAGGTTTGCAATAGGAAAGAGAATTATTCATTGTCTCCTACGCTAATCTCTCATGTCTAAAAAAAAAAAAAAAAAAAAAGAAACACTGCTGTTTGCTATTCCGTGGGATTCTATTATGTATTACGCGGCTTTCATTTCCAAACGTGTATGTGTGTGAGTGCAAACGGCAGCCGACATCCTCGCAATAGTAAGGTACAAATATTTAGCAGGTAAATTCATCATTAAAAGGAAGGATTTTGTACATTATCTCACATTCATACAAAAATTGAATTGGCATGAAAATAAAGAGCGCGGTGCTGCGATCTCTCTCTCAGTCACACACACGGCGATACACGAGGCACATCCGTTACACAAAAGAGGGGGTGCAGTGACTTTAGGCATTCGGCTCGAATACCTTCACTTGCACCTCATCCATCACCCTGGTGAACGTTAACATTCATTTTCAACTGCTCCAAATTCTGATTTCAAATGTGGGAGGAGGTTAACAGCAAGTTTAAGTGCGGCGAGCCTCGCTTTGACGTTGATATCCATTGGCTGTGGATGCGTGTGTGTGTGTGTGTGTGTGTGTGTGTGTGTGTGTGTGTGTGTGTGTGTGTCAGCATGTTTGAAAGACTGATGGAAAACGGGTCCAATTAAGCTGTGCAAGGTCGCTCTGGAAGGAAAATGTCTTTTTGTGACGATGCAAATAATTGATAGCTGATATCACATATTAGAAATTCATCGTGTGTGTGTGTGTGTGTGTGTGTGTGTGTGTGTGTGTGTGTGTGTGTGTGTGTGTGTGTGTGTGTGCGAGTGGGTGTGTGTGTGCGTGCAACATGACATGATGTTCTTTGAAAAAAAAAGCAGTGCATGCACACGTGCATAGCTGGAATGAGTATGAAAATCACGCACTCAAAGGTGACGTGTGCACGATTGTGAACTACGGCACATGAAAGTGTCATAGGTGTTGCACGATTTCAGATTTTTTTAAGATGACATTAATGTGATGAAAGTCTAGTCGACGAGTTGCTGAACTTGTCATTGATACTTTTTTGATTCAGGGGCTGAAGTGAGACTCATTTTCAGCCCTCGAGTTTCAGGGCTCAGACCTGCCCACTTAAATTCACGAATGAATTTGAATAAAGATACACAAAAAAGGCTTTCCCATCATGCTTTGCTGCCATTCCAAGTAATACTTGTGACTTTGTTATGCTATTTTTGTACGGACAGGCTGCAATATACTTTATACCGTTGTTCCAGTTAGGAATGAAAGTTTTGCAATTTTCTGTATAAATTATTGTGGTTTGGAGACACCTTTAGTCACAAAGGTGGTCATATATAATCTGATGACCAATGCCTGCAACAGTAGTAGTACCGTACGTTTGAACGTCGCTGAGTTGGATACATAAATTGTATATGAATTTTATTTACTGTTTTCAAAACCATTCCATGGGCAAGGAGTAACTAATGGCCAGGCTGGGAATGATCCAGAATGACCAGATTACCCAATCCGGGCCTGGTCGCAACAGTCAATATTCACTGCCAATGTAAATCCAATTTATTTGCACTGTATTTATTTTGATGCAACATACACATGAGAACACAAGAGCAGCAACGTAGGCTGACTGAAGACTCGTGTGCTGTCATGTGGTGGTTAAAAGAAATCCTCTCACTCCGGGTGCTTGCCACTGGGACAGTTAAGTAACGTTTGCACAATTTGGCCAAACAGGGGAAAGGTGTCCTCATTGTGGGCTCACCACAGCTGCAGGTTCTGCAGCGCATGAATTTGCTGTGTTTGCAAAAAATCAAGGACTTCGTAATGCATGGGCAAAAAGTTGTTGAAAATATTATTGTTGATTTTTTTTTTCTCCATACTAGTTCTCGCTCACTTACCAAAATTGTTCCTTCAGAAGTACGAGACAATTGAAATTGTGAAGGTGATGGATTTATTATCTGCTGTTCCTTAAGCTAAAAACACATAGACAAGTCATCGTCATGCTCTAAACATTATTTTGCAGTAGTTAAGTTAACCCGTCGACTAGTGGACGAATCATCTAGTCTGTGCGAGCCTGAGTGTTTAAGCGTTGCAAATGTTTATGTGCCATATAGCTCTTTTTTTTAACATACTGTAGGTTGTATCGATTTTTTGGAATCATTTTATTTCCATGAGCAAGAGGAATAGTCAGTTTGATGCAGCCAGCCTTGTGAAGGGCAGAGGAATTGAATATCATGTTCAAATGTGCATCAATTGCACTTTATGAATGTGAGTGTATGAGATGTTTGAATGAGCGTGTGTGTGTGTGTGTGTGTGTGTGTGTGTGTGTGTGTGTGTGTGTGTGTGTTTGTGTGTGTGTGTGTGTGTGTGTGTGTTTCTTACAGCGTTGGAAGGTTAATTGCTATGTGACCAAACTGAGAGCAGTGACTTCTGACCTGTCGATGGTCGAAAGTGGCCTTGCAGAAAAGGAAAATGCATAATGACTTTGCATATACCCTTGCTGATACCCTTCAACTTTAGCAGAGTGAAGGTTCCTTTGCTGTAGAGCTGGCGTGTAGAACATTTGAGAAGACTGGGGGAAAAAAATAAAATAGGATTTGATGGGTGTTTTGTGCATCATTCATTTTACAGTTGATTGTGGAGATGAAGGTTGAACAAAACATATTCCAAGATTGCTTGATAGGTCCTCATTAAGGTCACTGGTGAGATGGGGCCTTGAAATATGTCTCAATGTGTCGCGTAAGTGTTGGCGAGTCAGGAGTGTACTGTGAACACAAATCCCTTTGGCATTTTCCTGGTCATGTATCCTGCCAGGTCGCTTAAGAGATTCTAATAAAGAGCTGGAAGAATGTCCAAGAGTGTAATTAGTCTTTGACTTACTCTGCCATTTACGGGTATTCAAGTGCAGCGATGACGTGTGTTTGTGCAGCAACGTGACATTTAACTACATCGATTCTAAAACATGCACGGCAGGCTAAAGGAACGCTTTAAATTGTCCCTAGGTGTGATTGCGAGCGTGAATGCTTGTTTGTGTGTACCCTGCGATTGGCTGGCAACCAGTTCAGGGTGTACCCCGCCTACTGCCCGAAGACGGCTGGGGTGGGCTCCAGCACACCCCGCGACACTTGTGAGAATCGGCGGATTAGAAAATGGATGGATGGATATTATTTGAAGACATGAATAGAAGGCATTGTAAGCCTGCTGCTGTCCTATTTATGTTTCACTACATCCAAACACAGTCGTCACGTCCTAAGGACTACCAGTAAATGTTAATATTAGTCATCCAAAATATTCCTTTGCATAGGTACGTGGCTGTACTTGCGCGCGCCTTTCACAATGCCAGTGCCACAGAGGATTTGTGTGAAAGCTGTCATAGAACATGAGGATCTGAAAATAGACATTTCCCAAAGGGGGTGGGAGAAAGGGGAAGCAAGGGAAAGATGGTTGAGTAGGTTCACGTTTGAGAGACAAAACGCCGCTATTCTGGGTCAATGACAAAGATTAATTATAGATTAGAGCTGACGGTACACATGCACACAAGTACACAGGCATGCACGCAAAAACACCTACGCACATTTTATACAATACCTTGAAGAGATTGTGAAAAGCCTCTTGTCGTCGTGTTGTAAAGGGGGAACATTTGCCAGAGATTCTGCACGGGAAAAAAAAAACAAAACAAGTCCTTGAACCAAAGTATTTATCTGTATTATAATAAGTGTCGCATAGGACCAACATAGTTTGATTGTGTACTGTACACAGCATCCTTTTATGGCGTTTAGTTTTTCCACAATGTACAATAGTTTATAAACAGCAGAGTGAGTAAATAACTGACACAAAAACTTCAATTGCTTGGGGCACAAATATATATATGTATTTATTTGAATTTCATGGGATTTGAATTCTCCCTCCTGCAATTCAAATTTCAATTGCAATCCTGCTTCCTATTTGGCACCGCAAATCAAATTCCATGTGCGTTTTGCCTCGGCGCGCTCATTTTTCGGACCTCGCGTGATTGTTTTGGGCTTGGCAGAGCACTGGAAATTGCAATTCTCTTCCAAGTTGCCTGGGAGTGCTGCTGAGGGATGCTGTTGAAAGACAAATCGTGGGCTACAAGAGCTGTAAATATGTCAGCGCAAACCACAGCTTATCAGAGCAATCCCTCGATACCACACAAGCAACTCGAGGGGAATAACGAAAAGACAACTATATTCAATGACTGAAATGTTTGTTGATTATTGTTGTTTTTTTTAAATCAAAACGCTTGATCCATCACCTCTTCCAAGTGAACATGTTTTTTTCCGTGTTGGAATCCAAAATGTGCTATTATGTTTCCTCTGTCAATTCTTTCATTTGTGCCTTTGTGGGTCGAAAAGGAAGGAATAGGAGGAATACAGGATTAGGTGACATACAATGGGATGAAAAGGAATGCCATAATGGGGAAAGAAAATATCGATTCTTCAATACTTTTAGCTTTTACTGATTTTCTGCAGGTTACCCTCTTCATTGTACATGAATTGGAGCCCATCCCTTCTGAATTTTGGGTGAGAGGCAGAGCACACCTTGGACTGGTCACTTGTAGAGCACCCAATGGGAGGAGCTTCCATTATGCTAAATTACCAGGGATGTGTTCCTCGAGCCGGTCCTTGGCCTCGAGGACCGGCTCGAGGACCTAAGGTCGGTCCTTGGTCCTTGGCCTTGGCCTTGAGAATCAATTCCTTGGCCTTGGCCTCGGCCTTGGGAGTCAAGTCCTTGGCCTTGGCCTTGGCCTCGAGTTGCCGGTCCTCGGACACAATGAGGGAGTAGAGCCTCGATGTCCACGGGTATTAAGTGGGACCGAGGATCGCAAAAACCACGAAGGAATCAAATAAATTCCATCCAGCGAAACGCATATTGGTGGATTAAGCTGGCGCTTTAAAAGGGGCGGGTCTGCCACTGACAGGCGACAGTTAGCGCAACGAATAAAGAGCGGCATCACAGTTAGTTTCAATCACGGTTTGTTCCGTTCGCGATCGGCAGTTTAAATAGCGTGTAAAGTCTTTCTGTAACAGTGGTGTCTTTTATGTAGTTATTTTTGCACAGTCGTCACGTTTCTGCGGTGGCACTATAATGTTTGTTTGAACCAAGTAATTTGCGTTACAGCTGGAGTCAATAATGCCGGCACTTCACTTCCGTGTTTGGCCGTTGGGATTTGGAGTCCTTTTGCTCGATTCCAGTTATGTTTTTGGTAAATGCTTTCTCATGTTTGGAATAATGAATATT